AGTGTGGGTGTATGTGCACGGTATCAAGCCAGTCCTCTGTTGTCACACCTAAATGCTCTCAAAAGGATAATCAAATATGTGAAAGGAACAATAAATCTCGGCTTATACTACACAAAAGATATTAACTTAAGTTTGGCTGGTTTTTGTGATGCAGATTAGGCTGGGAATTTGGATGACCGAAGAAGCACATCTGGTGGATGTTTCTTTTTAGGAAACAATATTGCGTCATGGCACAGTAAGAAGCAAAGTTGTGTATCTCTATCAACTGCAGAAGCGGAATATATAGCTCTTGGAAGTTGCTACACTTGACTGCTATGGATGAAACACATGCTGGCTGACTATGGTATGTCCTCAAACCCACTTATGGTATATTGTGATAATCAGAGTGCAATTAACATATCAAAATAAACCTGTGATGTATTCAAAGACGAAACATAGTGCAATAAGATATCATTTCGTTAGGGACTTGTTTGAGGCCAAAATTGTGGTAATTGAATTTGTGTCATCAGCACGGCAGTTAGCAGACATTTCACCAAAGCTCTTGATCTAAACATCTTCTTAAACTTAAGAAAAACGATTGGTGTCTGTGAAGCTTGAAAGCAGCTTAAGCTATGAGTGTTGACAGCATCTGAGTATGTATGTAGAGAGAAATTATCAAGAGGTTTTCACGAGTTTAGAAATGAATAAAAACCTCATGCTGGCAAGTCAGGTGTAAAGAGGGCTACTCATCATGCACTAGTAAGTTAAGATTACTTTGGGAGTTTAAACTAAAAATTAGTTTCAATACGCTCTTGGATATGGGTGGCACAACATTTATAGCTAAGCTTGGTGAGTATTGAACTGCTTAAGAATGAAGGATACTCAGCATGGCTCTGGACGCAGCAACGTTTATATCTAGGCTAATCACTGTCATGACTTAACAGAAAAAAAACAGAGTTACAAGTAGAAGAAAGGTTCTTTAGAAAAAGAAAAAAAAGGAGGAGTAAGAAGAAAAAGAAACAGATTGAGATTATGAAAAAAGGGATTTGAGAAGAAGTGTCGAATGCAATGAGAGAAAAGAAAAGAATATGGTTATGTTAGTAGAGAATCTCCCAGCGTGATAGATATTCTCGTAGGATTTGGGTACAAAAATACTTAAACACTGACTGAGATCACTGTTTTGATTGGGGTTCTACTTGGAAATTCTACTTTGACCTGATCTTAGTTAGAAGTAATAAACTTCGTGTGTATGATGATGTGAAAACTAGTGCACTATTATCAAAGTGATGAAAGCTATTGCTGATAGCCGTTGCGAAGAGCCGATGAGTTGATGTCTGATTTTCCCTTTAATAACCAAGCACTCTTTGATGGTTTCTCACTACACGATACTGGAAAATATTAAACTCTCCTCTAGCCAAGTCTGCACAAGTGTGTAAATAAAGTGTTTTTCTTGATATTTTGTTTTTGTTTTGTTTCATTTGCTGATGAGAATCATTTTTTCTCGCCAAGTTTCCTAATGATAAGCATTTCTCATCTAAGGCATAATGGGCTTTTCTTTTATCAATTATCTATTATGATTATCGCTAATAGGCCATTGTGTGAGATCTGTATGTCAAGTAGGGTTATTTAAGGGGGATTTCTAGGTCAAGGAAGAACATGCCGCATACACCTTCTACATCTAAAATTACGAATGAGCGAAGAACCCAGACCAAGAACTCGAGGTTAAATCATGGCTTAGTTGATCCGTAAACTTGCCAAAAACCCTACCCCTCCATCCCAAGAGAAGCTGGAACGTTCAAAGGTAGTTGAGCATGAAGGCACTTCTCACAACAAGATTCGTCGTTCTTAACCTCGTCGTAAGAAAAGAACTACCGCAATCGATGAGATCTTCCCAGATCAACCTTCTGAGCTATCATCTGAAGTGGTTGCTGATAGTCAGGATGAAGAAGAACCACCGAAGATCAACATGCAAGACCAAAGCGAGGATGAAAATGACGAACCTGAATTGATGGAAACCAATGTGGGGGAGGAGTTTGTCTATGAGGTACTAGAATCGTGACTTCAACATCTCAGAGCTCAGTATCAAGCTCGTCTCGCAACCATTCCTAGCTTGGTAAATCCAAAGAGTCAACCGTTCAATGGGTCATTCTACCGAACTTGAGGGAGTAAAAAGTACGAGTGTTTGCTTTCTCAAACCATTCTAGGAGAAAAGATTATACCTTTAGGTGATGAGAAACTCGTGGAAGCCAGAAGTATTATTGAAAATGCTAAGTTGATGTGTACGGTTCTGGATCTGCCATGCTTCACTCGGGAAGTGGTGTTGGAGTTCTATGCTAATCTCAGGAATATGATCAAGGGAGGTGGTACCATTTGGGTATTTGTGAAAAATCACATGTATTAATTCTCTCCCACCATAATCAACAATACCTTCAAAACGCAAGCCCAACCAGTTGATTTTCCTCGGAAGCGGGTCACTGAGAACCTTGATAATGTTGTGGAAACCATGACTGGTGGAAAGAAGAAGAAATGGGGAAATCTCAGTATGCTTGATATAGCGCCAGCTATGAACATTCTGTTCAAGGTTTGTGTGTACAACTGGATTCCCACAGTAAATCGATCAACACTGACCATATATCGAATCAAGTTCATTCACAAGATCACCGAAGGAAAGCAATTTTATTTTGGAGTCATGGTGTTTGATCAAATCTTTGAGTTGGGTCAACAAGCAGAATCAGGCAAAATAAAGAAACTATTTTTTCCCGGTCTTATTCAGCAATTACTTCAGTCTCAGCATCCTATATCATTCAACCCCAAAGATTCTAACCTCACTGATCTTGGGAAGATGATACTTGATGGAAAGCAGGGTCTCCCGAAGAAACAACCTGGAACAGCTCCTAGGCGTTCATTGACAAAGGATCTTGGTCACGTTCATAAAACTCTTTGTTAACATCATCAAATGGTTTGCTAGTAAGTATTCTTTGTTTCCATGTTAAGTTTTGGTTTCATAACTTGGTTTTTAAGTGTCTATGCCATCAATCAGGGGGAGATATGATAATTTGTCTAATCTAGGTGATAGCAGCAGAGATAAAGATGAAAAAGGTGGTAACAGCTCTAGCGAGGAGTTCTAATTTCTAATGGGGTTGGACCAAGGGGAGTCTATGTTGTTGGTTTTTGTCTATGTAAGGATCAATTAGTGAGGGGGAGTCTGTTTTTCTGTGGGGATTGGATCTAGGGGAGTTTTTTTTTCTAAGTAGGAAGCTTCATGAGATGGATAAGATGCTAGTTTTTCTTGGTACTTAAGTACGGTTGTTATGATAGGAATGATGATGTTGTATCTCTAAAACAATCATTTGGATGAATGCTATGGATTTTTGTTAACTAACTAAAGCGTGTATTTCTACATAAATGGTTGTTATTCAGTGGTTTATGTCACAGATGCTTGGTGATAATAGACACTCAAAAAGGGGGAGATTTTTGGGACCTGAAACCTGATGAAGTGTTTAACAATAGCAAGATTGCTCGATTCTGAGTTTAGGCGGGAATCATTCAAATGTATGTGATGACGTGGCAAGTGAAGAATTATATTTTGTTGAGATATACATAAATCTGAGAGATTCTAGGAAGTAGGATAGATGATTTGACATTATCCTAAAGCTAGAAATCAGCTCATCTAAGTTTATAATAGGCGAGGTTGGTAGTTTAGGGATTCACGGTTCTTACGCAATAGAATTTTTACAGCGAGAGTAAAAGTATTTTGAGTCTCGTGTGTTCTTGAAGTTGTTCAGTGTTGATTCACAAATTGTGAAGTCAAGTAAAACTGATTAAACAAGTTAGCGTGTAATTTATTTAAAGAACTTCAATAAAGTATTCAGTTTAAAGTTTGAGGCATTATATATGTGCTCTAGGTTTTTCAGTAAGGCCAACAATAACTACTCACAAAACATATAATAAAACGTACTACGGAAGTCACGTTTGTACCACAATTACTATAATTGAAGCCATTAACAAAATTTCCAAAATTTAACATGTTGTGGGAAATTTTTTTATTTTCCAAACTTTTCTCTGATTCATTTTGATGAAATTATTATTCGTTTGAAATTACTTAGATTTATGTAACTTGGATCAGATTCGGATATAAAACTTGAAATCTAAATTACTTATTTAGGCATTTCAGTTTTTTTAAAAAAGTTTTAAAATCTAGCAAAAATATTTGTACTAGACCAATCTTTATCCAAATTAATGAATATTTAGATAATGATTTTAACTAAAGAAGTTTTTTGAACCTAACCAATTACTCAAAATTCCATCTCATCTTTTATTAGATATATTTTAAGCAATACATTGTATTCTAATGATTTAATCCTCAATGTTACATGTATCTTTCGTTTCTATTTATGAATGGTCAGTTCTCTCAAATAGATTTTGTTAAGTTTTTATTATAAAAATATACCTTAAAAACTAAAATGACCAAAATAGCATTTTATTTTGAAATTTTTTAGTTTTTTTTTTTAGTTTTTAAAATTTGAAATTCTCTCGACAAAATCCCACTTCCTCAACTCTATACAAAAAAAAAATCTAGGATTAATCTAAATGGTATAAGTGTATATTTTTATAAAACATTTAAGTTTATTTTAATTATTTTTATGGAAACAACAAGAATCAAATGCAATTGTCATGTGGTTAACAAATTTTCCATTTCCAGACAAGCAAATGACTCTCCATCGTTAGTTTCGGTAGTGTGCGAAGTGCGAACAAAACTCTAATAAATACCCTTATGGTCCACAAAAAAATAACACTAAAAAACACAAAAGAGCTATCAATAAAGGCACATAGATGGATGGGTAAATAAGTAATTCAAACTTGATGGTATAGTAGTAAATAACGCTTACCCGTTACACCAACGCCACCAATCGTGGGGGTCTTCGTGCTTGTACACACTTTTTTTAATATACTCTCCGTCTTTCACATAAAGATAAAGCGAGAAGAAAACAGTTCAACTTCAAAGGTATCAATCATGTTATGTAAATAAAGCTATTTTGAAGATTTATATATTGTTCTGTGAAATAATATGATTGCTGTCTGACACTCATTTTAAAAATAGAAGGATCGGAATTTCTCTCTCTCTTTCTCTTTCTCTCTCTCTTTCGCCAGAATGATTTAAAAGTATATTCTATTTATTACAGATCTGCTCTTGGATTCCGGATTCTGCTACAAACGAAGAAGCCAAAGTGTTCATCTGTTCACTGTAAGAAAGAAACTTCGTTAATTTTCTCGGGAAACTATGGTTTTCTTTCGGAGCTGGGAATAGTAAAATGATTCTTTAGCCTCGATTTCAATTTTCTAGATATCTGAGTGAGGGAAGCTGAAATACTAAGTCTAATTCCCTCCTCGATTTTCCCGATAAATTCTTCGGCTTTGTTTTTAACTGGGAATTTTTCTTGTTTTTGTTTTCAGTTCATATTATCTAAAAATCCGTAAAGATGATGCAAATGGATGGTGGCGATAGACTGAGAGTAACGTTATTAGATTGTATGGAGACTGGCCGGACCTCGTTACCTGGCTTGACTCTCGAAGATATTCTTATGGCTGATAGAAACGGAGCCTCGCCACAGCCTCTGCCGTCGAGGAACCAATCAAATCGGACACTTCTTGATGTAATGCATAGAGAGCACCGACACGACTACAACCACCGAGACAAGACCGCTTGGAAGTCTTTCCGTGAAAAGCTTCGCCTCAAACGCAATGCTACCGTTTGGATCTCGTCTAATCCTATCCCGAGTTTGAATTCCCCTGTCCTTAACCGGGATAGCGACAGTCACCAGCTCGGTTCTCTCCTCTCTAACTCCAGAAACGAAGGAGAACAATCACAACCGGAGTCTGCTTCCAGCGGCGGCGCAACGGCCGAGGGGAGGTTACAGTTAGGAGCGGTGTTGGCCGAGGAGAGAGCGTTATCAGCGAGGGAAGAGGAAACGCCGCCGGTGGTGACGACAGACATGCAGCCGGCGAGGATGTCGTTGATGGAGTTGTTAGATGAGAATGAAGGGCAAATGAGCTTGGTAGGAGGAGGAGGAGGAGATGGAGAGGAAGAGGAGAGAGGAGCAGTGGAGGAGACGAAGGCGGCGGAGATAAGTTGTTGTGTTTGTATGGTAAGAAGCAAAGGAGCAGCGTTTATTCCGTGTGGTCATACGTTCTGCAGGTTGTGTTCGAGAGAGCTTTGGGTTCAAAGAGGAAACTGTCCTCTATGCAACACCTCCATTTCAGAAATTCTTGATCTCTTCTAGTCATTTTCTTTTCTCTTTTAATTATCATATTTTAGGTTGTTTTGTATCCTGCTGTATCGTGTTGTTGAATATCCCTCTCTCTCTTTCAGATTCATGGAAGTGTTTACCCTTTTTCAGTTATTTGGAGAGAATAGTTAAGTTATATCAAATTACTACCATTAATCAATATCGTAGAACAAGACAAATAGAAGAAGAGACTAATCAAGAGTTTAAGTTAAGATGAAGAAAAAAATACTGGAAAACTATTGACAAAAAATTCGTTCATATGAACCATGAAAATATAAACCAAAAGTTACACCTTATTTACATATTTCACCTTATTGAAAAACTTCACCAACCCATTATCTTTTGCATGTGGTAATATGGCAATCAAAGTACAAGGAAGGAGTTGGGAGAGGAAAATTTATGGTTGAACTATAAATTGCATATTTAATTTTCCTGTAACTGATGTGTGTTCGAAGAGATTCAATAAGTGGTCGTTCAAGACGTCAACAACCTTCCGACTATACTTATGGCTAACAACAATCACCTAACTGAGAAGTTCACTGGTTAACAACTCTACTTGTTGCATGTTAAGACAAGTGTCCTTGTTACACATTTGTATTAACTGGTAGGTTTAGAAATGTAAAGTGTTTAAACACCTCATAAACTGAAGAAGCATCAATGTTAAAACCTCCGCTTGAGCCTTCTCAAGTTTTTTTTTCGCGCGGAGATTATTTTAACACCAATACTTTAGAAAAGTGAAGTGTTAAGACAAGTGTCTTTGTTAAGACATTTTGATATTTCTTCGGAAACTACTATCAATAACTCCTTTCCATGAAACTAACCTCATCATTCACTATAACATGTCCCCGAACATTACGGTGCAACACCACCTTGGAATATTTCACTAATTCAAGTTCTTACTGGAAAATATATATACATGCTTCATGTTTGAACCGAGTTTGGTGATAACAAGTAAATGATCGACGGAAACTCGTCGGTGGGTTATTACAAAGGTATGAAAGAACAAATAGGAAAAGAAGAGATTTATTGATCGAATAGAAGGCGAATACAAAGAGGACAACGGTGCTCGGAAGCTACCGGAGTTGTACGGACCGATCTAAGAGCAACACCATGAGTAAAACCCTAGTTTAACTGCTGCCTAGTCAGTCTCTTTTCCGATCCCTACTAAGCTTGGTATCTCTTCGCCTTTATAGGTTGTTGTACGGACAACCCTAATGGGCCGTGTCCTTTGCTCCGTGGGCTTCCTAAACAAGCTGAATCCATTTGCTCGGTGCGGACGGTGACGTGTACTCATCCAGAATTCCTTGTCGTCTTGCGGACACAAACTCTCCTCGCTTACTTGGACCGAGTAATGGGCCGTAGCCTTTATTCGATGAGCCTTAAAGGTAGGATGTAAATCCGTCCCCTACAATAAGTCCCCCCCCAGTTCACTATGGTCGATGCACGGGCTTGGTGAAGTAAATCGTAATGGTCGGGAGAATAAACTGCTCGTTTTTATAACAGGACCGGTTTAGTCGGGCCAGGATAGTTCCCCTCGGCTCGCAGGGGAATCGGTTTAATCGGAAGAGGAAGAGTCTCGGGCCGATTCACGCGTGTTAGGCATAAAGTAGGCCTAGTAGGCCTAATAGACCTAATTATGGCTCTGCGTTGAAACACGCGTCCGCTTTGTCTCCTATAAATACTCTTTCTCCCCTTCATTTGTTCAGCTTCTCTGCTTCCCACAGGTATTTCCTCTCTCTAAGCTTCTCTCTCTCTAATATCTTTAGCTAGAGTCGGTTTATGTCTTCCGGTAGACGTCTGACAGCGGCCGAGAAAGGTAAATCGATAGCGGACAGTTCTAGGATTTCTGAAGAGCAAGTGCCCGATAGGCGTCGTGTTATCGAGTTTGAGTTGGCGCACCAGGAAGCTTTGCGCAATTTGACGGGACTAGATCTGTCTCAACGGTTGCTCTTCATGGTCGATTCCGAAAGATTACGGCGGGAGGAAGAGGACGCTAGGGTGCAGTCGGCTGGCAGATCTGCAACTTCAAAAGTAGGGGAGAGTCCGAATGGCTCCCGAGTAAGGGACGCACCCGGTAACTCTCCTCATGCGGCAGACGAACCGATGATCCCGATTCATTTCTTCCTCGGGGGCTTGTTCGAGAAATTTCCGGCTATTCGTCCTAGCTCTCCCGGCCGACAGTGGTCGAAGGACATGATTGGGACAACGTCCTCCAGACCAGATCGTCTGTCGAGACCGTCAAGACGGTTCTGAGGGAACGAGTCGGACAGGGTGCGACATTCATCATTCCGAATGTTGATCAGAGGCCGTGGATGCCCCCGATCGGGTACCAGTGTGTTTACAAGTCGTACTTCCAGAAGGACACCCGATTATGTTTCCCGATCCCCCGACTAGTTACCTCCTACTGCTTTCGTCGGGATGTAGCGATCTCGCAATATATAAACGGTTCATCCCGAGTGGCAGTGGGTCTCATGGTCATGGCCGCTGAGAGGGATCTCCCGATGAGCATCCGAACTTTTGAGGAGCTCACTACGGCATCGAGCATGAAGAACGGCTATTTCTCCGTGAAGATGTGACCGGGTTTGGGCGTTCTGCTAAGCCCCCCGAACAAGACCGACCACTATCAGCGTTGGTACTTCTATGTGAAGTCGGATGAAACTGCATTCGAGGAGCCTCCGGGCGAGGACTACAGAGTCCTTTGGAACCCGAGCTTTGGTAGAATACTTTGCTGAACAAGTTCGTGTTCGTTCCGAATCTAACCTTTCTCGTTTTTTGGTTTTCTTTCTGCACTTCCGCATTCTAACACAAAAGACTATCCTGTAGATTTCCTCGATGTTGTTCGGAAGCTTACTCGTGCCACACCTCTTCGATGAACTACCGTCTCGTTCTCGCGGATAGATCGGCTGTTGCCATGTATAACCCGAGGTACCTTGAGTGCCTTGTTCTTATCGATTTTATCCGATATATCCGCCGTTTTGACACTGATCGACCTGGCTTTCCTTCTGGTCTTCCTAGCTGATTGGAGATCCGACCTGCGCGCCGAAGTTCGAGGTCGTAAGAGGTTGCCCATATTTCTCAAAGACACCTCCTCCCCTCCAAAGAAAAGAAGAAAGAAGAGTATGAAGGATATCCTGAGCCTTTGCGATGGAGAATGAAATTGAAAACGTGGCTCCCTCTTAGGCACATGCTGATGCTTGGGATGATACGGTGGACACACCTCAAGAAGTGATCAGAACTGCGGTCGCTCTGGATGACGATGACGAGACGCCGCTAGAAGAAAGGCTAATTTGCTGATGAGGAAAAGGAAAATATCGTCCTCCGATGCGCCCGACGAATAAGCAGTCCAGGAGATAGAGGCTGTTCATGAGGAGACGTAACCCGTCGATAAGGGGGACGAGCAGGTCCTGATGGCCTTAACAACTAACTTCGCTGCCGACGATCCGACCCCTGACACTCGCCCCGCTGACCAACATGGAACCGGTGGAGAACCGGATACCGATCGTGATCCCCCATCTGAGCCCGACACTGTCGTCGAGGAGGAGAATGAGGTGACCCCGACGGAGACGGAGGAGACCACGACTTCGAAGAGCAGGAAGAAGAAGAAGAGGAGTAAGAAGTCTAGGTCTTATGAAGAAGGCGGTTGTTTAGAGAAGAGTACGATCCCGAGCGGCGGCAGTGAACCGACACCCGAAAACACAGCATCGGTCCCCGCCTCTCTCGACAACCCTCCTGTCGTGACCACCGCGGTTCCTAGGACAGCGAGATTGGCCTTGGAGAAGGGGGCGACGCTACCTCATCGTACCTCAAAGAGTTTTACCGACAAAGTTGACTTCCACCACAACGACGTCTCTCCCCTATGCTCGATGCCAAACAAGTGCGTGGAACTTGTACGTCAGATTCGAGGCGGCCCGAGGGAGCTTCCTCTGGTCTCAAAGTTGATATTCGCAGACGAATTCACGGATTCCGCTAGCGCAGATATCCTGGTGAGTCTCCTCCCTCTTGTTTTGGTCTTGTATTCTAGCACTCCTCTAATCGTTTTCTTGATCTCGGTCGCTTGCATGCCATGGTTCGGAAGACTTACATTGTGGAGAAGTACGACCGAGCTCTCAGGTAATCCAGATATAAATGCAAGGATCTCGAGGCCCAGGTCAAAAAGGCTGAGAAGAGAGTCACTTCAAGGGATTTCCTTTTGGAGAACCAGAAGAAGGAGGTTCTTGAGGCGACCAAGAAAATTTTAGATGGGAGAGACAAGGCGGTTGCTCGCAGCTGTGAGTATAAATCTCTCGAGGAGGAAGTGAGGGTTGCTCGGGAGGCGTTGGCTGACTCGGAGCGCGAGAAACCGCAATGGCTGCGAGCATCAGAGAGAAAGACCAGGAGATCAAGAGACTACGACGATCTCGCGCTCATAAAGTTACTCTAGGGAGGGTTCGGGTTCAGACTGCGTATGTTTCGAAGTGCCAGCGCCGCTTCGAGAGCACTCGGGATTACATGGCTCGACGCGATGCTTATGAGGAAAAGCGCCAGCTATACTGTCAAGCCTCCGGTGTCAAGGATTGCCTCGAAATGATTAGTAAGAAAGGTCATCCCATCCCGAGCAACATCATCGGGATCTTCGATGCCAAAGCCTCGATGTATAAACCGGAGATGACTAGCTTAGAGGTGGGGGATCCTCCTGAGTCCAGCCTGACTTTATATCCTTTGGTGCTCCCATCACAGTTCGTAGATGAGCGCCTCCTGTCTGGGATTGACCCTTTTGGTTCCAACTCGGGGCTGATCGATTCTTCGATCGTGCGGGGTCTCAGAAGTCCACAAGATGATCGTCTCGCTTCACTTGAAGGTGTTTCCCAGGATTCTGCTATGGAAGTTAATACGACGTTGCCAACATGCCTGGTTCCCGCAGCTGATCAAACAGAGGGAGGCTCGACCATGCCATGAAACGATTCCGGGGGACGGGTCACTGGTGCTGAAGACCCTATTGCCTCGGAGACGGCTGCTCCGGCCTCGGGGCCTCGGTCTTAGGGCACCTGGAGGCTCTCGCACCGAGCGTGAATCAAGAGGAGCCGGAGAAGACTAATCACGGAGACGAGGAGGTCAACATCGAGACTTGAGCTTGGGAATGTTGCCCACTTTTCTATGTAA